AGCTGGATGCCTCATAATTATGTCATATATAATTATGTCATAATCGCTTGAAGTCCATGCTGAATCATTATAAGCATGTTGCAGCTTTAGAAGTGCCTTTTTCAGGCGACTTTTAGCAAGGCTAATCTTGTAGGAGTAGTCAAAAAGCTTAAGTTTAGGTGCAATTGTGCTCCAGATTTTTGTGGATCTTGATATGAAGTCATTAGATGGGAGTTGCTTATGAGTCAAATGAAACCTGTGCGAAACAATTAACTACTTATAAGTTCAAGTCATCATACCCATTTATCAAAAAATAATTGGTTCTCTCAATTCTTCCTAGTCCTTTACGCGAACCATTCCAAAATAACAATTTAGCTATTGAAAATGGTTCTTATCAATTTTGCTTTTTCAGAATGGCGGAAATTATAATAAAACAATTTTATTAGGTTCCTACACGTCGATTTCGGTTTAAACGGTTGGAATTGAAGTTTAAACGGTTGTACCTTAATTACAATCCTAACCCTTACCCTAACAATTAACCATAGCCCAATCCTGTAACACTAACCCAAAACCAGTCAAAGTTGCGCTTAACTGACATGTCACATGACCAACTAAACACAGTTTCGATTTTTTTCCTCTGGGGTTTGTGTTTTTTATTTCGTGGAAGTAATTCGGAATAAACGTTCAAAATACATCGAACAAAAAATAAATGCGTATGTATCTAGATAAATTTTCGAAGATAAAGTAGGTTTTCGAACACTTTTATGATAGCGCTCGATTTGATTTGACTAAAATGTTTAAGTATGCGCGGCACACTTGCAACTTGGAAGATTTCGACGCGCCGCGCGAACTATAATCTTTATTTGTTAATTCATAATTGACGATGTCAATTCATCGCAGCTAGGCGTGGCACAGTAGCGCAGCTCGCCGATGTCGCTGTAACATGTAAGAAGCCTCATTGAGTGCGCGGCGCGGCACAGTAACGCATCGCGCTACAACCTTATTTGCTAGTTACTTCGCAGATCAACGATTTAATTTGGACACTCATGGAAGGATTGACACGTCAATCTAATTTTGTAGGTTTATAACCTACCAGGACGCGCGCCGAGTTGGACTCGTCGACGGGGCTTTTACTAAATCGCTCGCCCAAAAATTTTACGTGACTTTGGTTTTTTGGTTTTGCAGCCGTACAAAATGGTTTTACAATGATTCACTTGTCTTACGTTGTATGACCCGCCGCGCACGAGTGCGCGGCTCCCCCTGTATCGTCGAAACTCTACACTACACTATAGTGAAGCGACCGTGGGGGTCACCACGTGATACAATGATTCACGATCAACGATGTCAATCCTTCGCAGCTCGGTGAGGCACAGTGGTGCATTTCGCCGATCTACCGAAAAGAAGCATTATTTGCGAGAAGCATTATTTGATGCGCGTGCGACCCAGTAGTGCATCGCGCTACAAGGTTTTACATATATATATATTAATAAACCCTAATCCCAACCCTAACCATAACCCCGAAGCCAGAAGCTATCCATAATCTTAACCACAACCTTCACATAGCCATGTGCCTACGCGTACTGCGTGACGCGCTTGTTTCACAAGTAGTCTTTTGCCGCCTACGGCGGTCGCGCGCTACTGCAAGCGAGAGGGCTCTGGTTAGAGCAACCACAACCCTAACCCTAACCCGAGCCCTAAATAATCGAATTCACGTTTTACTAGCCTGTCACATGACCAAAACGGTTTTTTGCCCATAACTCTCCAGGGAAGCATTTTAACCCTACGTCATATGGGGGGTGATTCGGAATCAGCGTCCAAAAATACACCGATCTAGATCACTTTCATGCCTAGAGGGCCTTTTCATTGCTCTAACCAGAGCCCTCTCGCTTGCAGTAGCGCGCGACCGCCGTAGGCGGCAAAATCCTACTTGTGAAACAAGCGCGTCACGCAGTACGCGTAGGCACATGGCTATGTGAAGCCTTTTCACAAGTGCAGTGACAAGAATTTTCTTAAAATTTGGGCGAGCGATTTAGTAGGTAGGAGCGCGTCAACGGTCCTAATATTTGGAAAAAATATTTTAAGAGTATCACCCGACGGGTGATTCACCCGTTAAATCTAATTAAGCGGCACACTAGTACATTTGATTTTATATTATAACTATTAGCGTATATGTTATTATATGGAAGTGAATCAAAACAATTTATTTTTTCACACTGATTCTTAATCAACTCATTCCTTATCATATTTTTATTCCTTAATCCTTTCTTTAAAATATTGTGAGCAAATTAATTCATAATTATTTTTTGTTAAACTTGCTTAGCGCGCACGACAAATGTATTATTTGACTGTTGACGGATGTTACTTATCTAAGTTTTTTAGCTTCGAAGTAGCGCGCCGCTTTTTTTTGTAGCTTTACAACTTGTAGCGCGATGCACTACTGGGTCGCGCGCACATCCAATAATGCTTCTCGCAACCACACCGTATACGTATGCAGATTGGCGAGATACGAAGGATTGACATCGTGAATCAAGTTTACAACCTACCAGGACGCGCGCCGAGTTGGAACAGATATTTTACGAGTATCACCCGTTAACGCTTTCTTCTCAAAATGGCAAGTGCTACGAAGTAGCGTGCGCCGGGCCAAACCATTTCACATACCTTTCTCGGGAATATTATAGCGGGTTAATTTATGACTGGGAAAATTAATGACCGGGAAAAATTTGTCATACGTTGTATGACCCACCGCGCACGAAGTGCGCGGCTCCCCTCGTATCGTCAGGACGATAAAGGGGGTTCCACATAGTGAAACGACCGTGGGGGTTGCAACGTGATACAAGGAAAAATATGGCGGACTTTCCCAAAACCCGCCAAATTATCCCGGTCATGAATTTACCGGTGGCCGACCTTTCAAGTTTTTTTTTCAGAGGTCAACAAATTTTCAACCGAAATTTCTGTTTTTGTTACTTGTTAAAGAAGTTATTTCAATTTACAGTTATTGATATTACTCAGAAATAGAAAAAAAACACGTCTATTTAAAGGAAAATAAATCTAAACAATAATAAGTCAAATCTTCATTAAAGCGTATTCTCATTCTCATTATCGCTAATGTCCCCTCTATTATCATTATTGATATCCCCCTGCTGCTGACCTTGATTGACGATGTCAACCCATCGAGATCGTTGCTCTGCGAAGCAAGAATGCTAGTTTGCGCGGCGCGTAAAAGTCCTCCAACTGCTGACCGTCAAATTCGAAGTCGTATCGTTGTCTTAACAAGACTTTCATTTTGTCTGCTAGTGCTGCTACTGCTCTGAAGGTCAGCCGGAGCTTGATTTCCTGTCCACCGCTTGGTATAAGGTATTGGGGAACGTCTTGGCTTTGCCATTTGCATCTTCAACTGCTCCAGTAATCAATCCACCGTGGACAATGAAATAGTGGCACAGTTTACTCACTTCTAGCGTGATGTGGCCACAATTTACTTTAACGGGAAAAAGTCCCTCTTTCTTTAGTCTACACACTGCACACGAGAGCAATCTTTAGCGACTCAGCTGATGTCTCTCACTCCACTGTTACACGCTCTATAGATGTGGATACTGGCGGGGAGGTGATCATTGTTTGTTTACGTTTTAGTGGCGCCTCTATTAAGCAGGTCAAAGAGGTGATCATTGTTTGTTTACGTTTTAGGTGGCGCCTCTATTAAGCAGGTTGAAGATGTGATGCAAATTTTGTATTATCGAAGGCTTGTTACACTTGTAACGCCTTCTTGTTACCCCCTTTGAAGGTCCCGAATTATTTTCTGAACGAAAGCTCAAAAATAACCGAGAAATCGACCTTCGTATTAACTCATTTTGATGACTGTTTCTGACCTTCAACCTGCTTAATAGAGGCGCCACCTAAAACGTAAACAAACAATGATCACCTCTTTGACCTGCTTAATAGAGGCGCCACTAAAATGTAAACAAACAATGATCACCTCCTCAGCCTGCCGAACATGTGCTCACTATTAATGTAAACAAACAATGATCACCTCCCCGCCAGTATCCACATCTATAAACATGACAATCATTTACAATTGTAATATATTAAGAAGAACTACGGCCCGAATTATTCGTAAGCCGTGAATAAATGGGAAAAGCGAACGACCGATTTCATTATCGGTATCATTTTGCATTTGCGGACGGTCATTCAAATTAATATCATTTCCGTTTGTTTGGGAAAGTTAGAAAGCACTAGCGAGCAGCGGTCCACTCTACCCATGATTGATTATTATGGGTTTTGGTCAAATTTCTATAACCAAACTGTGATTTTTATAACGAAATTATGGTAGCAACAGCCAATAAAGTTACAGCCCTCCATCCACTGCTTCAAAAGTCTTCTCTAGCACATATGAGACTTCAGGTAAAATACGATGATCACCACCCCCTTGGAACCCCATAATCTGACTCGGCGGGTTTTTATTATGACTGGTAAAATTTTTGACCGGGAAAAAAATGGCGGAATTTTCCAAAACCCACCACTTTATCCCAGTTATAATATTCCCGAGTAAGGTAAATAATGTGTATTGTGTGGTTTAAAGTTATCTACATAAAATCAAACTAAAAGAAAAGCCCTTCAAAACTTATTTCACATAATTGATAGTGCATTATATTACCATTATACGTAACCATTTTGGCCAAACACTTTCAGTTCTTCGAGCCGTATAATATTGGAGGACTTCGCCGCTTCGCCACGCCGCGCGAACTATCATTCTCAATTCTTGCTTCACATCGATGATCATCGTCAATCAAGCCGTATTACTATCACATAGTCATGCAACATCTTCGATCTTCGAATTCCAATTACAAATCTTGATCGGAAAATGAAACTGTCAATGTTTGACTTCGATGATTTAGCAAACAATCTTTTTCCGTGGCCAATGGTTTAAGTTCATTACATACGTCTCAGAATATAACTTCATCGCGGTCATGTTAAATCCTTTGATTTTGAAGCCCTTCGGTGCATACCACACACAAAAACTCATCAGATTATGTTTAAGAAATAAGGACAAAATAAGCTGCAATAAGGACTTATGTTTATGAACAAATCGTAACTCATATTTCGTTATTAGCATATTTACTAACTCGTCTATCGTTTAAAAATATCATGACAGTTTTTAAAACTCCCTGTATTGTTTTTATCGTATATCTAACGCAGAAGTTTCTAAAGTGTTTGAAGCGCAAACATTGCGCAATGTAATAGTAAAAGAAACGCTAAAGCTACGAGCTACGTAGGCATTGACGTCTCAGTCAAACTCAAAGAAACATCAGAAGAAGACTAATCGCACTATAGTGAGAATACCCAGAGTCAGAGTAATAGATAATACAGAGGTGCTGGAGTCTCTTATAGTATCTGAAAAATAATATGATATCAGTGTGACTGTGAGCACATGCAACTCACACAGGGAGACTAAAGTGCAACTCAGGAACAGAAAACGCAGTGTAACCAGTGTAACTAGTGTAACCAGTGTAACTAGTGTAACCAGTGTAACCGGTGTAACCAGTGTAACCAGTGTAACTAGTGTAACCAGTGTAACCAGTGTAACCAGTGTAACCGGTGTAACCAGATGAACAGACTCCTATTCTAGACTCCTGGCGTTACCACGAAAGTTAACACTATTACCCGAGTGATGAGTCTAGTGACATTAGTGTTCGATTTTGTGATGTGAATCGAGGTCATTTGTCAAGATCGCAAGATTTGTTGAATCTCAGACACATCATTATATTAGCGAGAGGTGAGAGCAAAATAAACTTTACATGTTGACTGTTGAGGAGACTTAGTGATCTATTCCCCAGCCCACTTGCATTGAGATTTGAGGGATTGAATGATCATTCGGCTTGGCAATATTGGTATTGGTACGACATTATGCGACATTATGTTTAGAGGGCCGTTAACAGTAGTTAAACAATTAAAATAATGTTATGCTAGTTTCACGACAGCAAACAATACAATTTATCGAGATTCAAAAACTTAGAGAGCATGTCGTAACTACATGATCCAATGAAGGAATGAGCACAAATTTTGATCAACTTATTAATGCTTCTCCAATACTTTACTAATGCTTCACTTGTACATTGTACAACAATTATCATACCCATCCCACTTATCCCAACTATTACCTGTCTCACTAGGATCATCAAACAGTCTCTTGGATTCATCCATTGCTTCAACCTCATCCATGGCTGGGCACATATCCCTGGCAATGCACTTCCCTCTGTAGAGAACTGGAGCAGAACTGGGACAGGAACACCCGGGGACACACACTGCTATACAGGGTAGAGAGGGGTCGGAGAAGCAGGTCTGCGGACAGGCACTCCCACACTCTGTGTACTTCTTGGGGGCTTTACATTCTCCTGGGGGCACGAGATAAGCGTTACGATACAGCGCCAGCTTTTATATAACGGTAAAGAACATAGTATGCTGAATTCTTAAAATAGAAAGTGCATTGTGCAATTCAACAAAGAACAAAGAACTCTCACCCTCACAATCAGAGATTCGAGCACCGCTACTATCATAAAAGTCAGCATTACACCCGCCACAGTAGTTGGCTCTACACCTGGCTCTCGGGTAGTTTGGACAGGATTGGACTTTACAGGGGTTTTCGAAACAGTTGACAATGTCTCCACACTCAGGCTCGGGAGGAACAGGTTCAGAGTCAGGTTCAGAGTCAGAGTCAGGGTCAGGGTCAGGGTATCTAGGACGACACATCTCACCACTGCCTCCACCACTGTTAGAGTTGCCTTCCTCTTCTTCCGGGCACCTACAATTCGATGGTCACTTAACTTACAAAAGTTGCTTTAAAAGAATATTGTTTTATATAAAAGTACACTGCTCAGAATTAATTGTACTTCGAAATCGAGCAAACGCTGTTAACACTCTGCAAGAGAACTCACGAAACAAATCTTTCCCAGCGAAACCAAAATACTGACATTCAGTCTATACTGTGACAGTGGGCTGTCTTCTCAGATAACACGGTTAATAATTCATCAAACTTACTCGTCTCTAGGATTACAGTGGCTGCCAGTAAGTAGAGGTACATCACTGGGACACTCGCATCTTGCCACGCACATCTCTATACAGACAGGGTTGGGGTTGGAGCAGGTAGCGGTACAGGCACTACCACAGTTGTTGAAAATCATGTTTCCTAGACAGTCTCCTGAAAATACCATTTTGATAAAGCTCCCATATACCTTATTTGGGATAAAATCTTTTGAATCAATCTGTTTTTGTGATACAGATTACATCATTTCGAGAAGGTTGGTATGTGAAAGAGATTCGATACTCAATAGAATTAGAATGTGTGGCCCCGTACGTGCTTTTTGAAAAGGTGTCCGAGAAAATTAGAAATATGATTCACCTTTGCAGTTGTCAATACGGGATCCAGTGTCGTGGTAGAAAACAGCCTGACACTTGCCACATGTGTCAACCCGACACTTAGCATAGGGAAAGTTGGGACACTTTGCTGTTTCACATGGGTCCTCGTCACACTCCACCTCGGCTTCTCCACAGTCAGGATCTGTTACTTCAGTTGTTTGGACTGATCTAGTGTTTCTACTGCTGCTGGAACTGCCACTGGAACTGCCACTTGAAGAAGTTTGAGCAAAGTCAATGTCACCGTCAGAATCCTCATCACTGTAAATCTCATCGCAAAACGGCAGGTAATCAGGACATTCGTTCTCTGGTATGCAGGATTGTTTGTACAGGATAGAACGGGCAAACAGACACTCACATCTCCTCACGCAGTTCTTCGTGCAGGCAGGAAGAGGGTTTTCACATGTAGGGGTGCATGCTGAACCGCATTCTTTAATTAATTGCCCATCCAGACAGTCACCTGTGGCGGGTGGAATTTCAAAGAGTAATAATGTTTATCATATAGTTATTTAATAGCTAATCTAAACTTTACAGATAATATAATGATACCTTCTTTGAGTTAACCAGACTGGAATTACAACTAGTAAGATTCCAGTAAAGTCAGTTCCATCTGTTTTATGACTGGAAGCTAGAAACCAACTCACCCTCGCAGTTTGTAATCACATCACCGTTCTCATCATAGAAGATAGCCGTGCACTCCCCGCAGAAACTAGCTTTGCATTCAGCGTAAGGATAGTTTCTGCATTTAGTAGCTGTGCAGGGGTCGGAGAAACACAGCGCCATATCTTCTCCCTCAGGGCATACCGGGGGATCTTTACCTATGGAAAAAAGGTAAGTTAACCGGACTTCAAATTCATAACTATATTATACGTCTGAAATTGAAAAAGTCGTTAGCTAGTGACGTTATAATGCATGCAGCAGGCTGACTGTAGAATAAACTAAAGAAATGTTATAATTTGGACACATAATATGAAAAAATGGTAAGAAACAAAGTTAATCTTACAAACAGGGCAGCAAGGTGACTTGGAGGTGTAAACAGATTCACAGTTAGGGTGTACGGGCATACAGTCCACTGCATTGCAGTAATCAGGTTTACACGATGCACAACAATCGCCCTCAAAGGTTACAGGATAACCAGTGACACATTTGGGTGGAGCCGGGCAGTCAACTAGCGCACACTCGTCAGGGGATTCTGTTGGGGGCGGTACTTCTGTAGGGGGTGTCAGTATAACACCTGCAATAAATACTGCTGTTACAATTTACTAGATTGTTCCACCAAAATGGGTGGTACAAGATTAATCTTGGAAATTCGTCTAAAGAGTGTGAGTTTAAATAATTAAATTCCCCAAAACAAGTGTTATAACTCACAGATAGGACAGCAGGGAGAGGTGCTGATGTAAACTGCATCTTTATAGTTACAGTCGAGAGATGCACAATCCTCTAATCCACACTCGTCAGGTATACTATGGGTGCAGCATTTGTCGGCGTAGGTTCTGGAGTAGAGGTCTGGAGCGGCACATTTTACTGCGTCACAGTTGTAATCGTCCAAACCTGTTAAGTTACATGTATCGTAATATGTGACATGTCGTCAAATTTTATAAATATTATGTAATATAGAAACTAGACTACAGCTGCCTCTTTTATGCAGCATTGATTGGCTCTGAATACATGTTAACATAATGTTAACATAATGTTAACATAATGTTAAAATTGTAAATTTCCATTAATTTCTATTAATTTCCATTAATTTCCATTAATTTCCATAACAATATTTGACTGATTTCGAGAGCTACGAGCACATGACAATATAAAAATAAAACTCACAAATGAAATCTTGTCCATGGATCACAAATCTCTGACATTTCGTCTCACAAATATCATCGCAAATCTCCATTTTGCCTCCTGTAATGTGATTCATGAAGAATTCAGGGATGGGATAACAGCATGTGGCATTACATGTGTCTGTCATCTTATAATTAAAAAAGAAAAAGTACTTGATTGGTGTAAGTTAACATTGTATCAATATGATTCATGAACATCTTAATCATGATCATAATGAACATTTCTTACCATCTTTATCAATACACTTGCATTCTTTACAAGAGGTTCTTTTCCAGGACTCTCCTACTTCAAACTCCTTTCCTGTATCATCTGAACAGGGTCCAATACCTGACAAATTTATATAATAACCACTTTAAACATCCACCGGTTACGATAATAAAGGTCATCATTATCTAAGTATGAAGGTTCCGATATCTATTCATGGTAAAGATTCCAAATAAAATCACAGTATTGGCTAACTTGTCTATCATTAACTTTCTTCCTGTCAAGTAAGAAAAGTAAATAGATCTAAAATTCCCTAAATGACAGATTTTACACTTAGTAATAGTGTTATAAAACTTACATCCAGGACAACAACTACCAGGTTTGTTCCACATCCTCCACCCACCACCGTTCAATTCCAGACAGTTGGGTATATCACACATAATCATGTCACACTGCAGTATTCCTTTCTCCATACAAGTACAATGTGTACATGGGTCCGCTTGAAAACCTTCTCCAACTTTGTGCGTCTCACCAGTTTCAGGGTTGGTACAAGGGCCTGAAGATAGACGATAAACTCTCTTCAAACAAATGTTAACAATATTTATAAATCAGTCAAAGTTTCTGTAAAGCAGTGCACAAAGGATGAAAATAAAGTGCTACTTACAAATAGGACAACATTGGTCATCAGGAGTGATACTTACAAATAGGACAACAATGGTCATCAGGAGTGATCGTGTCCCAAGGACATTCTCCTGGCCAAGCACAGCCGCTAACAGCACACATTTCCTGTTTCTCTCCCGTATCCTCGTTCACTTCACAGGTACAGTGGGTACAGGGATCTGGAGACCACGTCTCTCCTTGACCATACTCCTTACCATCAGTGTCTACACAATGTTCGGGACCTGGGACAATTTAGAATTAATTATTAGAAAATAGTCACAAATTAGTACAACTTAAAAAAACATATATATCTATTGAATTCTCGAAGAGAATCTTCAATCTACCCTAGAAATGTAATATTTAGGATTTTGTCAAACTAACAAATAGGGCAGCACTGATCAGGAATTCTGATCATCTCCTTATTGCATCCTGCAGGATCTTCACAATCCATCACAGCACACATTTCCTGTTTCTCTCCTGTATCCTCGTTCACTTCACAGGTACAGTGGGTACAGGGATCTGGAGACCACGTCTCTCCTTGGCCATACTCCTTACCATCATTGTCTACACAATGTTCGGGACCTGGGACATTTTAGAATTAATTATTAGAAAATAGTCACAAATTAGTACAAAAAAAAACATATATATCTATTGAATTCTCGAAGAGAAACCTTCAATCTACCCTAGAATGTAATATTTTGTGTTTTTTGTTAAACTAACAAATAGGGCAGCACTGGTCAGGAGGTGTGATGATCCTCCTATCACATTCTCCAGAGTCTGGACAGTCCATCATAGAACACACTTCCTCCTTATCTCCAGTGTTCTCGTCCACAAGGCACTCACACTCTGTACAGGGATCAGGTGACCAGGACTCTAGGTGACCGTACTCTTTACCCTTGTTATCAACACAGGCACTAATACCTGACATAGGCACATATTTCAGGTTTTTGTTATTAGGAATTGGGTGTGAAAAATCAAAATATGATCATGAAAAACGAATATTATTTCACCCAACCGTTATTAGATTTGAGCGAATATATCACTGAATCATGTCATTTGATGTTTAAATAGGCATGCAAAATTCACAAGTCGACCTGAAAATTAACAATGTAGAAATAACACATACAGGTAGGGCAGCATTTGCCGGGAGAGTCCCAGATTTAGAGCCCTCCGCACACATAATCTGAGGGCACACTAATTCAGAACACTCGGGTCCATCCTTTTGACAGATACATTCAGCACAGTTCCCTTCCTCTGTCCACGTCTCAGCTTCACGGTATATTTGCCCAGTTTCACTGTTCTCACATCCTGCAGGAACAAGTTTAGGTGTATCACGTGATTTGTTGATACAGTGAAACTTCGTACCTCGGCTATAACTGGTAAGTAAATTGAGCTTTCTCTGTTATCTAAACTAACTAGTACCCTTACAGTTACATGATAGATTGTGTTAAATCTACAGTATATACCATTCGTGAGTAAGAAGGATATCGACTCACGCTTGTAGAGTTCAGGATCTGGTTCAGGTTCAGACTCAGTGACGACTAGAGAGACAAAACCTGAACAAATATTTTGTGTGAAAAGTTTTATAAGATCAGATAATTCTTGGAGTTCATGTAACGACTCATTATTAAGAAGCATTGATATCAGTGCACACTTCAAACCACTGGAGCACACTTCAAACACTGGAGCACACTTCAAACCACTGGAGCACACTTCAAACCACTGGAGCTCACTTCAAACCACTGGAGCACACTTCAAACCACTGGAGCACACTTCAAACCACTGGAGCTCACTTCAAACCACTGGAGCTCACTTCAAACCACTGGAGCACACTTCAAACCACTGGAGCACACTTCAAACCCTGAAGCACATTTCAAACCACTGAAGCACAGTGTGCACTGTGCACTGTGCACTACTATATAGGTGCCGCAAATTACCAGTTTTATTAACATGGTAGTGGGCTTACACAGTAGTCAGTACACACTACATCTGTTAGCATCCATCTCCAATTTCAAACTCTATCATAGAAAGTAACAGTGCATAAACATTGATAAAAGATGCAATGAAAAACGAACGTTATACCTGCAATGAAAGTAATGAAGGTCAGTAACCAGATACGCATCCAATGTTATGGATTTAGCTTGAGTACTGGATCAAGATTATATTACTAAGAGGAAATACTACACTGGTTATACACTCTTATAAACTCATATAAAGTTGAAAGTTTACAAGATATGAACTCTGATAAAATAGAATTAATAAACGGCAAAAACTGATAAACTAAAGTTTTAAAGGCTTATTCAAATGATTTACGACGGCCGTGCAAATGTAAAGCTCACACTGCGCACCAGATGAATGATCTACCAACGATCTGAATTACGTATTAGAGCGTCTGTGTGTATTCATTGTTATACACGCATATTTTAAGAGAGCAGCACGTACAACGGTAACAGTGTGCTTACACGATACTAATGTGATTATTGCAGAAGCTTTTTAAACTTTAGCAACACTATGTAGATATGGTGCAGTGGTTGAGTTTGGAGCGTAATATAATTAAAAGGATAAATAACTTAATAAAACAAGTTTTGTTTTATTAAGTTACTAGAAAGCACGTGGTGACCCGCCACAGAGAGAAAGCTGATACTGATAGTGTTCAATTTGCACAGTTGCTTCTAAAGGACTCTATCTTAGATAGAAAAACAAAACATAATATTGAGTAAATGGTATTATATATATATATATATTTAGTCAGAGCCAAGATGTTCTAGAGAGGGTATTTAGGGTTGTAACCCCTGACGACCATGATAGCCATGTTGGATACTAACGTGATTATCACATTCCTTCGTGTTTATTAATGGATGCGCCTAGAGGCTAGAGTACTGATTTCCATTTATGTAACTCTAGAATCCTGCCACTAAACGGCTGATCCATTTTGACACCTCAACCTCAATGCATTATTGGCCATTGGGCAACTTTTCCATTCAAATTATCGTAATATCAAGGATGTTATCTACTCGATATTTTAATACTTTAGATCAAGATGCACACAATCAGACCAACATCAATATGTAATATACCATTACATGTGTGTTTACAGCAAACCTGTATGTTTGTCCACATCCGGATACAGTTTTTTGCAAACAATAGCTAGACTCTTGTTAATAATGGGGCACTGTGCCTATAGGAGTTTTATACTATGCAGCAGACAATAGAATTCTTGTTAATAACGATATCTTTACAATGTGATCATTCATTTAGACGATTGCAATTTGCAGTAGACAAAAAATGTAAATAGAATTTTGCGGAGTGCTTTTAAAACACATGCCGCTTCGAGTGGGGGATCGTCCATATGTACATACGTCAATATTAAGCCATTTTATACCACCCCCCTCCGTAAACATAGCTATTGTGTAGTAATTTCAATAAGCTTTTCCAAACCCCCTCCAACCTAGACGTTACGTAATATTTGAACGATTTTATCTTTCTACGGAAAATTGGGTGCCGATATTAAATTAAAATATCAACTTACTTTCTTATGGATTTAAAGTAAACAAACTCATTGATGATCGAGAAAAACAAATAGAACATATAAAGTAACAGTTTTTACACTTGATACTCTTAAATAATATTAAACATATACTGTACACTGGCAAACTATAAACAAATGAATTTAAAACAAGCTCTAAAAATCAATAATCCGTACCAGCCAGTTTATTTATTAATTATCTTATCGCTTCTAAACTTCTAAAAAAAGTAAAATTTGTCATTTTGTCGATAAGACGGATAACCACTATCAGTATCACGACGTACGACGATTAGTAATGAATGAATCGTGACACAAATAAATCGGCATATCTGATATCAGCGGACTGCGAAGGAGCTACGAGACGATTCAAAACACATATACAGTATAATCGTATCAATGACTTTTGTATAATTTTATGGCTAGGAAGTTGTTTAGTGTACGTGATGACTACTACGTAATGGAGTATCTATTCTAGTCAGATACTGGTGATACTTTCGACTAATTGAGTATCAAGCATGTGATGCGGTCCACTTTAAAACTGTTGACATTAGACGAGCGTGCTAAATCACTCTTCAATCGATCTTCTAAATTTTTCTAAAAGGGCCCACGATAGTTGAAACAACTAGATTCGATGTGTTTTTCGGACGCTCATTCCATTCCGAAGCACCCCCCAATCCCCATACATAGGAAAATGCTCCCCTGACGAGATATGGCGAAAAACCGCTCGATCCACGTGATACGACCGTATAGGAAGTTGTATAATTGCTCGTCCGTTAGGGTTGCAGCATATGCTTTTGTTAAGATTGGGTTAGGGTTAGGATCAGATTAGAGTGTTAGGGTGCGAAAAGTCGCCCAGGGTCCAGCTAGAGAACGCTTGAAAAAGTCACGTGACAATAAGTGTAGAGTGTGTAAGCAGCCAACCGACTGAGAATAACATCACGTGATTTCCAAAGTAACTTCGATCGATGTATTCAGCGCCCACACAATTCAGAGTCCTTTTTTAGAGAGTTAATTGTGCCTTTAGAGTTAGTAAAATGTTTTCTGAGAAAATAGCTGTTTCAAAATCGAACGTGGCGGACTGAGGCTCAAGCAAATGCTTTCTCATATTTTTTGCGACAAGTTTTATAAAAGTATGCGAAATAACATATTGTATATCTGCGACTGGTCAGCGTCTCGCACTCACGCATTATATAACACCAGCACGATAAAAAGCAGCTCTGCGACTGTAAAGAACTAACTTTATCCAAGCCACCAGAAAAAGTACAAATACAAGCGATTATAGCGCTATCTTTTGTACTCTATATAGTAGTAGTACTATCTGCACTACAATCAGTCCTCAATTTCTACATAACAATCTCATATGTTTATTTCTGTAGAATGAACTGGTCAATGAAGTCTCTCTGCTCCGCTTCCGTCTTTTCCAAACTCTGTAACTGAATCCTGTACCTTTCTAGTTGAGTTTTCTTCTCGTGTATCAGACCAACAAGCTGTTGCTGCTGACTCTCCCTCTGTTTCGCCATGCTCTTCAACATGTTACGAGCTCCGATTGCCTGCGGAGGTTATATCAATATTAGTTAGTTCAGGTGGGATTTGTAGGACGAAACCGCTGGTTCTTTACTAAAGGGAGGCTAGTAAATCTATAATAGTCTGGTCAATCACCAAAATTAACATCAAATAATGAAATAAAGAGTAAAATATGTAAATGTTGGTTTATCAACTTTAAGTTTAAATATGAGATCCCCGAGCAACTAAAGAATTCGAATGAAAACTGACCTTGAGTTTCTCTCGTTCTACCTCAGCTGACAAGTTGTCCATCAGGTCAACGAACCCTCCAACTATCGTCTGGAAATCGTCGATTTCTGTCAATACGAATTGGTTACTTGGCATAATTGATATTGAGTAGAGTGAATGAGTCGCAGAGTTTATAGAAAGAAAATTTGAAACGTCATATCACAACTATAATATAGGTTAATCGATCGGTATGTTTTAAAAACAAATTGTATGAAACATCGCTGATTTAAGGTTTATGATATAAACTTCCTGTCGATGAAGTCCTTGCATTCTTCTTTCAGTTGACCGGTTTTAGTTGCTGTTTCATTGTCCAGGACTCGAATCTTGTTGAGATCATCAACATCAAACATAGCATCATCATCCATTGACATTTTTCCTAATTGATACTATTGAAGTTATTTTTTGTAGTGTATTGTTAATTGTAGTGTGGTGTATATCAATAAAACTTCCTATGATTACTGTATGATATGATTAAAGGGTAGACTTGTTATTGAGATGATTTAGTTGTTTGTTGCTGAATATTTTCACCTCATCCTTTAGAACCGCTCTGACATGTATACCTGACAACTTGTGCAGTAGATAATCAAATGGCAGATACAAGTACATTATTTCATTTCATTTCATCGTTGATTGGTAAATTGACTAAATATTATAAAAGGCATAATTTGATCGAGTAATTTACTTCGTTTTTAAACAAGCAGTATTAGACAACGATTATTGTGTAATGCTTGTAAACTGGAGATTGAAGTTTAGTTTGCATCTGCAATAAAACCAGTCAAGATTAAAACAGATAACCTCTAAACATCATAAATTTAGTAACATCTATATGTACAATCAATAAAATCCAATCTAAAAAGATTAATAAAATTACATCTTTACCAAAACAAGTTTGCCAGAAACAATACAATCATTTGATAGAATATATTACTAAGAATTCAATTAAATCTTTAATCAAACTGCGCATATAATAATTTTTCAGTAGCATTTACTTTTATAATATGGCAACCCTTTCCGTGAATTTAACCGCAATATTTCACATCTATTCAAAAAGAAAACATACAATAAAAATTTAATAAGAACACATAAAATATCAGACAAAAAGGATTTTAATATAACCATTAACCATTAGTATCTCTTTTATCTAAGTTCTAAAACCCTAACACCAACATTCTCCAAATTCGTAAACCCTAACACCAACATTCTCCAAATTTGTAAACCCTAACACTAACATTCTCCAAATTCGTAAACCCTAACACTAACATTCTCCAAATTCGTAAACCCTAACACTAACATTCTCTAAGTTCCGAAACCCTATGAACACCATCATTCTCTATGACTCCTCAGAAGAACATCTGGGAAATAGGACGGTGGAGGTTATAGCTGGGTACAGCATGTTTCCTCTTAGGTAGATTGAGTTCGTTCTGAGCGGGTCGACTACACATGCTCTTGTTCATCATGCGCTGTCTGAAAATATTGTACCTGTTAGTGTGATGTTTTGGAAAAGTAAAGGGAGGCTGGCAATATCCTCCGTGTTACCAGAAGTAAATAATCTTAAATTATAGAAGTTTAAGGAGTAGATGTGAAGGAGTGTAAGGTCCATATTAGATTTAACTTTAACAAATGAAGGTTTACAGTTAAAGTAATATTATCGACTTCAGAAGTGTTATTAATGAAATAAAAGAGGATTATTAGAGGTCAGAATAGAAGGTTCTTTTAAGGAGGAGAAAAGTTAATAAAACTTAGCCCAGAATTAAATTATTGTTGCCATTTTTCAGGTCTATTTTGTTTATAGATATAACGTTATTGACTTATTTTGCCTTTGGAACGTAATAGATTTATTATACTATTAGTTTATTTTCCTACTATCGATTTCCGGGAATCTCATTGAAACCAGATCAGGGGAGACAAATTCGGGAGTTGACGTGAAAGCGGCATGTAGAACTTCAATTCTTTTACTGTATTTTCTACTGCAAAAGTAGTAGTTCTGTTGTAGATATTAAACATAAGTATTATTGTTAAATAGTAAAAATATCATTACTAAATATTATAATCTTGAAGGGTATATTATCGAATATTGTTATTAAAGAACGCAAGATCGATAATCCGGTAACTACTAATACGTTCATCCATTTTTATTTCGATAGCATTCTTTTTTTCAGTTCTTTTTACAAGTTCTTTTTTTCTATATTCTGTTCTTTCATTTTTTCGTTCTACTTTTTTCAAATCTTCTCTTTTGTTATTCACTAAAAAAACTTCATAAAAATTACGAACTATTTGTCTAGAAGAGAAAAGCATGCTGGTTAAATTTTCACTACTATAATTTATTCGCTGCTGTGATTTTGCAGAATCTGACGGCTTCTAAAAACCTGAACATAAAATCAGATTCTGAGCAAGATCATCAAGGTCGTACTGGAGTGAAAAGAAATAAATATTCAGATTGAGTTATTCGAATTGGATACGTCCTCCTATTGGATATTATTATCTTGAAGTATATTATCGAATATTGTTATTAAAAAACGCAAGATACTGTTATTAATATCATCAAGATAACACGCGTGGCTTGTACTTGGTAAATCTCCAATAAAATCAGATTAAGACTATAAATTGGTGGAAAGTATATTAACGATCTCAAATACAAGATTTAAGGAAGACGAAATTCAGATTCCGAAAATTCGCTTTTCTCTTTTTAAATACCTTAATAGTTCCTTTCAAATGAATTAGGTAACTACTAATACGTTCAACCATTTTTCTTTCGATAGCATTATTTTTTAAAGTTCTTTTTATCTATTGTTTGTTCTTTTATTTTTTCGTTCTACTTTCTTCAAATCTTCTCTTTTGTTATATTCTGAGCAAGATCAGCAAGGTCCTACGGAGAGAAAAGAAAGAAAATTCAGAGTGAGTTATTCGAATTAGATACGTCCTCCTATTATATATTAGGAGAAGAGTTGGAAAGATATCGCAAACGAGATAAGAAGATCTCCCTCCGGACTCAATGCCCGCTACCAATAGGATCGTTTCGCTAAATGATGAAAGTGCACCTGCACCCAAATGTAAATATCAATGAAGCTCCCTAAAAGAAGAACTACCTTCCACAAAACCACCCAAGAATGCATACAAGTGTATCTTAAGGCAAATTACTGCCGGCTATACAAAAGTGACATAATGAGCACTGGTTGTTTGTCTCTGTTCATAAACAGTACAAACTTCATTCTTGCTTCTCATTTGATCCTGCCTCATAATTTGGTTGATTTTTGGCAACTTTCCGAAAAATTGCTATTTCGTCTTTATGGGGTTCTCAAAGGAAATAAAACTTGAGATTGTGAAGACCAATTGGCAGTGTTACAAGTGCTCGAAGTCTCCTGCAAAGAAGGTACAAGTCCAAATTCTGCAAGCTCAATGATAGAACGATTGCACGGCTTGGTAAGGAAATTAGAGATTGATTGCTCCTTGGTTAAAAATACTGGCACCGGCAGGCCAAAATCAGCACTTTCTGAAAAGAACATCATATGAGTAATTTATTAATATAATTTTTCTCCCTTTTTTTTCTTTCTATTGATCTCACTACGTAGCACGTCTCTTCTTTGAAGACCCTATCGGAAAAACATTTTACTACAAGCCTAAATCTCCCATTACGACCAGGACATTTGACGGATCCTGGTGAGCAGAGGTTCTTTCAGATGATGAGAGCTATCCCATTCCTTGAATGCCTTGAAGACAATCGAGACATCTGGTTGAAGATCAAACCCACCAAAAGTTAGATACTTTTTACGTTAACGGAGGCAATAACGACATAAAGTTATAATGCAGATGTAAAGTTAATATGAAGATAACAACTCGACTCAGGGAAATATCACAAGTTACTTCAAGCTTGGTTTCTACTGACAAATCAAAATGATTTATTCATTTTTCTAACCTATAATAACCCGAGGATTAGTGACTTTGGTTCGAGATGATTAACAGTTAAAAGACCCCCCCCCCCCCCCCCCTTGCCCCCTTAACTACTTCTAACTTTTTATAAATACATCACAAAAGAAGGAAAAAGATAGAGAAAAGCTAAGAATTTACAGAAAAAACCGTATAAAATAAGCTGCATGTTAAGTTAACATTATTAATTTTTTTCTTTATCAATAATACTGGAGTTCAATGCTTTTTATTTATTCATTTGACTTTTTCACTGTTCGTAAAATGGTGTTAAACCTTTCGTAACCGAGAATAATAAGAAAATAACAACAGTTTAATTTTTACTTGAACACCCAATTAATTATTATATATGAGAATTAAGCCTTACAATTCAGCCATCTAATAATATTTACTTATTAGATGGCAATAAAAAGATTTCAATCCGTAACTATTGGCTGAGTTAACAAGAGTATTAATCAAGAGATCAAGAAAACACGAGATGTTCAGAAGAAACACAACTACACACTAACAGGTACCTGGTTCGCTGCCTGACACTGCTGTCCACATCTCTTATTGGCAGTCTGATCCACTCGTTACACGAACCACGAGTGTCTGAGCCAGCTGTAGAACTCCGAGTGCTGGTTGACTTTACTCCGCAATCCTTCTCTATACTTGCACTCGTTACATCCTCGTTCTGAACCTGACAAGTGACAATTTGGGCTGTTATGATTATGCGCAATATGCGGTCATGATTATTCTTAGAGTGCCCGGTGTGGAAACCCTTTACAATATCACGATATAGAAGCTATTGAAAGCATCCAACGTCACTACACTCGGGCGAATCAGTGCTGCCAGAACCTTATACTGGAACGCCTGCAGAACCTGAATCTTCTCTCATTACCAGAGAACGCAGAGAACGATACATCATTTTACATACATGAAGAGATTGAATGGACTAGCTCCGAACGACATCAACAGCAGTTCAAGGAAAGCTCGGGACGTGTAAACACCACTGTGCCTGCATTAAACAAAAAGCACTATGTCAATCTCGACCCATTTACGAAAACTCCTTAGGATAAAAGCAGCCAAACTATGGAACCTGCTCCCCAAGATAGTTAACCAATCCAAGTCTGGAAACGTTCAAGAGCCTCCTTGCTAAATTCCTGAAAGGCTCCCGGATACCCCCGCCCACAAAAGGGTATACGCCAGCGCATCACAAATAATTCTCTTCTGGAAGGGACAAAAAGATCTAAGCCAGAGTGTTGGAAGGACGTACTTGATACTGTTGTCCAAACGATCCCTAGCCGAAACATACCTAAAGTAACTAAAGTAAGTAGAGTGGTGTCTAGAATCACACACTGTATACAAAATATAAGCTTCTTGATTTGCGGTTCCTGCTATAACTTTAAACTTATGGTTAAATGAAGATATCTGGTTGCTCGGGTTGGTAACCGGCAGAAACCTAGGTCTTAAGAATCCAAGTCAAAAGTACAAAATTACTAAAGCCATCGCCAATGAGACTCACCAATTTAGTAGGATCTCTGGTGGAAGGCACCGTTGTAGAGATGTTTCTCTTAGCTAGACGAAGAGGATCGTATTCATCCTTGCAGATAACATCCAGAAAAACAGTGCCCTTAGTATTGCAGGCTGATAGATATCTGCTGTATAGCCTTCGTTTCTGAGTGTCCAGTGAGTTGAACGGCCTTCCAGTTAGTTTGCTGTTTACATCTGCCTGTACAAAAGGTTGAACATTTTTAATTTAAGATTAACAATAAAACTTACCAACAAACACTAAAACGGAAAAAAAGGGGGCCCAAAAACCCCCCCTTAGAATTCTGTGTCCCGGTTTACCATGTCTCAGTGTTAAAGTGTTTAATAACCCCTCTGATTGAAGGTTCGGTAGAGCGCCAAAAAGCTTCAGGGGGACGACAAAAAATTCCCTATACTACTTATATTTAGGAGGGGAAATGATGGCAAAAAATGGTAACATTACTCCGTTCCTTTAAACTATATCAATTGAACAAGGATATACACACTATAAATACACACTAGTAAAATGTACTGTCATACTAAGCATTGGAGCTAAGACAATTCAAAATATTTGTTGATACAATTAAAAACTTAACCTAAACTATCCACAAGATTGACTGAAGGCAACGCAACATGAAATAACGGCAGCATAGGTACAGGAGAGCCGAGCTGGCTTCGATAATCTTCTATATAATACCGGGTACCTAAGTTCGTTGTAGCGAATATTTAGCACGAGACGGCAAAAGGATACTGATATCTATATTCCAATTCCAAAGTTTCTCTCTGTCTGTACGTTTGACCACCCACTTGCAATTTAGATGTTGAATAATTCAACCTGAGAGGCTGCAAATTTGGCGGATTGCTTAACTTGATTGTTCTGTTTTTTGTCTCCAAATTTGCCTCACATAAAAAATCTAGGAAGATACGGAATCGCTTATCGCACTACACTAAGTTTGTTTTATAACTACACGCTTTATAAAGACAAAGCCTTCAAATGAAAATTTAAAGACACCACAACAGGTTTCAAAATAGATCGGATGTAATAAAGCACATTTCACACACTGACCTTACTTCTACCAGCAAATTTAAAGACGGGTTGCGATGAATTAAAGACGGTAAAGGCTTTAAAATAAAGACGCTGAAGCTTACTCGAGCCTTCGCCAAAGTTAACCGTCTTTATATAACGAACTGAGTGTATTTGAAAATATGACCGCACCTACGTGTTGCCTCTGCTCCTGACTGAGTTTCAAAATCATCAAAAACTAAAATGTTCAGGAGGGTTCAAACTTGAAACTTGACGTGCATAAAAAGATAAATGGACAATATGCTCCCGGGCGACCAGTTATTTTGTCCATGAAGGAGGCATGATGTGATATTAAGTTAGATCTCTTATCACTACTTTCAAGATCAGATCTCTTATCACTACTTTCAATTCGTTGTAAAAATCTTGCTCTGCCTGTTTATTGAAAATTTGAAGACATAGCTCATCATGGCAATTCTTCAAACAAAACTCTGATCGCCGACAGAGCAAGCAAGCTTCCCTAATCCTACTGTCCCGTGCTTCTCAGTTTGGCAACGTTTTATCAGCACATCAGATGCCACGTCAACAACTACAACAGCCACAGCTACCTCACTTCCAACGGTGAGTCAGAACTAAGATCAGTCCAAGAGTTATGGGAAATTTAGCAACATCTAGAAACCGAACTTAGTAGAGCACGTATGGATCATGCTAAATTGTTGGACAAAAGAATAAAAAAAAAAAAAAAAAAAAAAAAAAAAAATAAAACCCCCCCGCCCTTTTTTACCCCCGTTGGGGGGGGGGTGGGGGGGGGGGGAAAAAATAAAAAACCTTTATTCGACACGTTAACTCAAAGCTCAGCAAAGTTGTCGATCGTCAAGCGGAGGCGATCGGCAAACTAGAATTGAACTAGATAATTTAGATCATACTCACGTAGGGAAAACATTTGTTTTACCCAATTTGCTAGTTAATGAAGCAATATTGTGGAGACCAAGTGGTCCTTTTGTGTGAACAGTTAGGTGTGGACAATTGTTAGGAATGACCTTGTAGCCCGCTCATCCCTGAAGTCAAGAAGGGTAAACCCCCGAGGTTTATGGCTCCGCTTCAAAGATAATCAAACAGCACAGAAAGGTTTAGAAATAGGAAAGCACAAAAACATTTCCCAGATAAAAGAAATTGCTGTTTGAGAACCCCGAAAAGGTGTCGGGGGTACAGCCCAAGATAACATATAAACGAGCGGCATTATTAGGGCAGGTCAACGATCTGTCAGATTTGGTGGACTAAACTCTTGTTGGGTTGACTACATGAATGGAAGGTTTTTTATTGAGAAATGAATGCTAACGTAATCCTAAGCCTGATTAGAATACTGCTGATTTGTTGATTTGTGTGCCTAACGTTTGAACCTAAAGAGTGTTTTTGTTTTGTGAACCCCTTTTTGAACAATAACTGAATTCACACCGTGAGATTGATTTTCTAATACAACATTTTTCAATTTTAATATTTCTAACAGAGAGTATGATGACGGAGTTTCAAACATGACCCTTTCCAACATCCTCATTCCCTCTGACCGTAAGCAATGCGTCCTTCTGTCAATAAAATTTTGTACTTCACCAATTCATTCTACGTTGCAACAACTGTAAGGACATATATCATGGATCTTGTTAAAGCTAACAATAGTACCATATTATACTTCAGGCAATGTTGTATGGAATTGTAAATAGCTATGAACCGATTATATTGAGTATTATAAGTGTGTGACATTTTTTACAAATATTGATCAATTTTAAATGAAAAAGATTGCACAGTGTACACAATGGTTCAAAATTTGCACAAGAACTGTGTTAAGTCGATTATTTTGTTCGTCATGTATGCCCTTACCCTTACTTTTTTGAAAACCCTGTTTTAAAATAAAACACAAAAAACAACCACCTTTGCCACCTACTACCATACTGTTAATATATTGAAACTGATTTTTTATTCCGAACAACCGTTTCTTGCTCCTTTTGAATATTATTACAATGAAATGAAAGATTTTTTATCCCGGGAAGGGTGAAGCTCTTTGCGAGAAATTTACAAGATTTCAGCCAGATTACTGCGTCAGTGCGTCTATTATAAGGTTAGATGATTTTGAAGAAAAAATGAACTCAATGGATTATCGTATTAAGTTTGAATACGATGGATTCAAGATCAAATTTTTGACTGCTTTTTAGTGCACCATGGACGTTTCAAAGCGATGGATATTTCCTTGTTGTGAAACTAATGTATCAGAACTTGAGTCACAACCATTTAACATACCGTAGAATAAATTTTGACTTAATTCGATATTGAAGAGGATTGAAAGCTTAAACACAAAGGTTCTGTTTTGGTAACGTTTTTGCGTGACAAATTTAATAATATTAATCAAAAAATTTGAGCTTTGTATTCTACCGTTGAGTTTGAATCCACTTTGTGTTTGAAATACAGTTAAACTGAAAAGTTACTATTGTTAATTGTTATGTTCACCAAGTGGAAACTTTGATTCATTTATCGATAGTTTGGAAGTATCTTAAGTAAATTGAACACATTAAGGACACAAAAGCTATATTCTTGGTGACTTTATGTAAATCTATATAACTCTAATTCTAGTGTTTGTTAGGCGATATTTAGACTGCATGTTTAGCAAAACTTTTTACCAATGAATCTCTCGTGCCTACTCATTTTGGAGGCTAAATGGCACATGTATTGATCATATACTTTACAACAATATATCTAACATAATTTGTAACGGCCTTATACTATTAATATAAGTCGTCACCCTCCTGACATTCGTAGTTGTGGACTAGAAATTTTGATCCTAACGAAAGTGTAGAAATAGAAATAAAGTAAATATTAATGACATTTTTATTAACAGGGTATTGAATGATTTTAAATATTAAAATTGATCTTGAAAGTGATCCTGCCGAAATATGTATTCCATTTTTGACAGAAATTTTAGAACTCTTGTATGATAAGTGTTTATAAAAGTCAGAAGTCTAGTGGTAATAATTCTCTTCTTCCTCTGAGTGGATTTCAATAGAGTGCCCAAGAAAGTGACACTAAAAACAAACTCTATTATATTTGGTTTATGAATATAACTAGAGTTATTTGGGAACAAATATGTTGATTACAAACGAGTGTTTGAGCATTAGAAGTAGAAGAAAAATTTGAGATTTGTGATAAATGTTTGAAAGCAAATCAACATGATTTGAAAAAGACTTGGAAACATGATAAACGGAACGTTTACTAGGTAAGGAAGAGATCATACAGAGTACTAGTTTTTCCTAATCAAGATGCAGCGCATAATTTTTAATTATTATTTTGTTAATATTGCTAATGATCTTTTACTAAAAAACTATGAGAAAATGCTAACGCGGATTAACGATTTTAAATAAATATTGCCGAGAGACATAACAGCTATCGGATATTAATTTTTCAAGTGAAGAAATAATATAATATTATAAGTAAGCGTAATAATAGAAAGGTACGTATTGATGCCCTAGGGTCCTCAAACGGTTAGTCACCACTTAAAAGTCCTTTTACTGGCTGATAGATTTTTTATAAATGTGCAATAAGGGTTATTTTCCAAAGAATTAAAAGCATCAAAAATAATTCCTTTGTATAAGAATAAGATCTATTTCGAGATAAGCAAGATCGGCACTAGTGCAATGTTACCTTTTTTGCTAAGGTTTTCGAGAAGTTAATACATATAAACGTATCTGATTTCTTTTAATAAGCACAATCTTTCTGTGATAATCAGTTTGGTTTCCGGCGTAAGCACGCACCTTTCAGGCACTTGTTGCACAGTAGAAATCTTCATGATGCTATCGATAATAAGAATTTAACATAGGTATATTTATAGAATTTTCCAAGCTTTTCGATACAGGGCGGGCATAATATCTTGTTTAGAAAAGCTGAGAACTATGTATTCGAGAATGTCATTAAATGATTAAACAGAATTTATCAGATCGGTTTCAGGATGTGAGCTATGGGGTTCGAAAGTTGTCTCTTGAAAATAACCTGTGTATTCCACAGGGGTCCAGTGTTAGGCACCCTGCTCTCCTGTATGTTTTATCAATGATTTGTGCAAATATTTGTGAGTTAGAGCCCTAAATTAATCCTCTTTGCAGAGGATTAAACCTTTTTCTTCAAAATAAAGAAGCGAAAATTTACCTCTAACAAAAATGCTAATGAGGTATTATTCAAAGATTCACGACTATTGCTGCTTAAAAGGTTAATCATTAAGTTTGACAAAATATGCTGTTTTTTGGAATTCGGAAGTATAAATTTCCTAAGAAATCAAAAGTTTTTGTTGGAATACTTAACATCCAGTTAATCAAGTGAATAAGTGTAAAGTTTTTGGAGTCATTATTAATTCTAATTAACGTGGGAATGATCATATTACCATTGTAATAACGCAAGTTTCAAATCATGCGGATCACTCTACTCATAAGTTCTATAGTACCCAGCCAAAGTGTATAAGACAAGTAATATTTTCACTTTGTCAAAAACATATTTAAAGTAATTTGTACACCATTGTGGGTGCTGTTTTTTTTCACCATCCTTTGCTGCAAAAACTGTTTGTGTTGCAGAAAAAATGTATCGTATTGTGAGTAGAAAAACAATAAAGATTGATCACAATTTCCACATACGAAACCAAGGTTCTTTCTTTCGTTGAAATTATTAACCTTGTGTAACTTATTTACATACTTTACTGGATGTATGCAATGAGGCTACTTAAAGAAAAATTCTGTTGAATGTTTATCGCCGGTTTTAGCAAGTCAAGTAGATCATGCAGACTTCTCTATCCTAAATTCTCATTTCTAAGACCAAGAATAGTAATTTTGTTTTTAATGCATCCAAAATTTTAATTATCTCCTTGTCATGATACCGTATCAAAATTTTGTCAATTTCCACTATTTAAAAAAAGAGATTGAAGAACCATTTTGCTTCATAAACAAAACCAGGGGCTAAATGGGATCATGGATGGCTACCATAAGTAATCTCATATCTTCTCAATGTATCAATTTCATAAAATAATTATTTTCAACTAGGGAAATTAATTGAAGTTAATGTTATTGGGGACGTTTTTGTGTGTTTTTGTGTTTGTTATTGTGAGAAGTTAAAACTAAGATGGGGACTATAATTGGTAAACGGATTTATGTGTATACGTCTTTATTAATGTTGCCTCCGAGTTCACTACACTGACAACAATTAACTTTTTATTATTTTGTGTTATTTTTTAACTGATATCAAAATAGCATAAATTAACATCGCGATACGGTATTAATTTACCTCCCAGCGGTGAGACACCGCTTCCCTCCATCGCCATGTTTTCTCCCATCATCTGTTCTACTTCAGAGGGAAGTGATTTATTTTATATTTTAAAATTGTTATTATTCCAGTATAACAAATAAATTTTCTAATCGTGTAAAAAAAATCGTGTTAGACATTAAAAATATAGCAAATTCAACGTTGAATACATGCATTAAAATTTAAATTATTTACAGCCTATCCTATTACAGCCTATCCTATTGAGGCACATGCCACCCCATCGCAGTTTTACTACTCGATTTATTTTTTTAGGGGGAGGACTGTAAGGGTATAAGGGCAGAACTCAAAAAGTTAAGTAAATTTCACGTTGACAAACTGAATTTTTGTTTGCAATCAATTAATATCGAAAGGTTTTGTTGTTAAATTCATACATTTAACATCGCACGTTCTTGGGTTAAACGACAAGCTTAGCTACTATTTCGAAACGTTTTTTATTAAATACTTTTCAAATTTTACAGCAATAAATGAATATAAAATAGCATCGTTCAAAACATCGCCCCATCTGTAAAATAAGATGCCAGATGGGCACCCAAACACCGAACACGGTAAATACGGTGAACTATGTCCGCAATTACTTGGACCCAATAGTTAAAGTAGTAAAGCTGCAAAGAATTAACAACTAATCTGTTTTATTGCTGTACATTAATTTTAGTTCCTTGGGAGGACCGCATTATGTTATTTATGTTAATGTTATCTGAAGGCAAAATAAAAATGAATGATGCTAAAACTGGCATCGGGTGGAAGCGTAACCATAGCGACGCGAAGATTGCGCGCGTAATATTTGGCACTAATTTAAATTTCAGCGCCCTAATATCACAAGGGACTCTAACGCGCCCTCTGTTTTAGTTTTCGGAAGACCTTTTTTTAGAGGATTCCTGAGGGCTTATTTTCGGTTTTTGTGACACCGAACACGGCCCCATTTTTATTTTGCCTATTATCGAGCTATTACCAGTACAGAATCCTACCTTATTCTAACTTTAGCTGTTAACATCAGGAGATTAAAGTTAAAATCAATTACACTTATAGAGGATTGAGTTATTTGAGCAAATAATTAGCAGAGTTCTAGCTTTTGGAATAAGTTACCATATTTTGTTAGAAATTCAGTGTATGTTATTGATTTTAAGATTAAACTAGAGGAATTTAAGAAGACTAATGTTTTAGTAGACACAGGAAAATTTTGGGAAGTGTCAGATATAGTTTTAGGGAAGATAGAGGGTGTAAATTATATCGAGAAGAAGAAGCAACAAGTTCAATATTTACAAAAACATCCGTGTGTTGCCAAGAGAAAGGGAGTAAATATCTCCTAAATTTTTAAATTAACAGTTTTTATTTTACTAATCTATTTTTTAATTTATGTAATTAAGTTATTTTTGTGACAATTGTGTTAAAATTTGTTTTTTTAATGACGAAGGCTGTGAAATGCTCACAGTTCTGATAACGAAGAAATTAGGAAGAATGTTTAAAAGCAGTGATGATGTTTATGTCATTATTCTTGATTTGATTTGATCTAGTTATTGATTATTTAATTTACTCAATTAACCAATTGTGAATTGTTTGATCAAAATTCCACTATAAATCGAAAACAATTTCTTTAATCTTACAGTGCCTTGCAATGAAGATTAATCAGTAATAGTAAAGTAAGCTATCTTTAAACCATTATAGAGTTTTTATTGCAAATGTGGCCTAGCTATCCCATCTTAGGTATACGTATAACATGATATTTAGAATAGTTTTGAGTGGTTTACTGTACATTATTCTGTTTTATGTTTGTAGTAGTTGCTATGAAGCTAAACCGGTAAGAAAAAACATAATATGAAGGACTTGTTTTAATTCTAAATGAAAAGCTCGAATATTGGTTAACCATTTAAAAACCATTACCTTAAGAACTACAAATTTAGTCCACCATAAACTTAGTCAAAATTTTGACTATAATTGTTGTAAACCAAATTTATTGAGACTAAACAAGCTAGGAAAACGATGAAAACCAAGAATGAAAACATGGGTCATGGTGTCGAGAATTCTTAGGCTTAAAACTTTAAAATATTTCTCCAGGATAACGAAATATTAATACGTGGCACAAAAATAAAATAACTCCGGTTATTTTTATGCGGTTTATGCTATCCTGATCATTATGAGCCTAACATATTTTTTTCGATTTACTTTACTGAAGTCCGTACCTATTAGTAGTACCTACCTACAGCTACCTACTGTAATGTGATCTCGGAATGCAGGCGGGAGCGATTGTCGCGGCAAACGTCAAAAAATCGCGATTTGTCGCGGAGAATGGGAAAAATCGCGATTCCGCACTTGCCACGATTTCCTTTTGTCCTTGCCGGTAGTCCTTATGCAAACATGGAAAAAAGCAGACCTCTCCGAACAGAGATTTTCAAAGTGTGGAAATACTATGCTATTTATAATCAAGTTAAACGATGGCTAAAAATAGAAATATATAAAAAGACGACGGAATGGAAATCGCTTAAGGCAGGACTCCAGAGGGGGGGGGGGGGGGTAAACATCGTTTTTCCAGTTTTCACATATTTGATTAGAGCTGCTGAAGATGAACAAGTAGAAAAAAAAACGCATAAAAATCTAACCTTGCGTTGCTGAGATATTGCACGCCAAAATTTTTTTCTACTCGTTCATCTCCAGCAGCTCGATCACATATGTGAAAACTGGAAAATTGATAATTTACCCCCCTCCCCTCCTCTGGCCTTGAATATGAATAAATTAAAATATCAAGGAATAGAAAGTATACCTTGATTATTGGAAATTAAAATATAGGGCGTGAATTGAAACGTAGAAAGGAAGAAGAGGGTAAAATCTATTCAGCCTAAACACGTGATCCAGGGAAACATAAGATAAGGTTAGCATCCAACACGTGCTAGAAAGCTTTAAATATGCTGCAGAGTAAAATGAAATATGCCCCAAATATATCCCATTTACCTAATTAGTTTCGATTTGATCGGGCTAATAATTACTTACTAAGATACTTTGATTAGGTTTAGCCTTATCGCTAAACCACCCAGTGATAAGCAACAGAACTTACGCAGTTAGTGCTGAGCTGATTTAACCGTACAAGATAAAGCAAAACTTACTTTGACTGTTTTGAAGATAGAATCCTCCCATTTAGAGAATAGAACATCATACTTCTGCTTGTGTTTTCGCTTATTGTCTTCAAGTTCATCGTCCAAAGTCTGGTAAGACAGCGATTGAGCAATAAATCAGGGTACATTTAGTTTGAAGCAGAAGAATGTGATTTTAGATATACTGAAAAGTACAAACTGTCAGTTGCGCCGTTAGGGACATTTTTTATTAAAAACTGCAGGATTACTGGATTTACCTTAACGAACGTATTTTCTGTAATTGTCAACTCTCTGTACAATCGTTCGCTGTTCAGTAGCTGTTTGAAACAGTCTTTCTCTATTTCTTCTGTCTGAAATTTTGATAATATTTGATTAATTTTTACTACATTTATTACAGTGTTAGTAAAATAAACAATCAAAGTATCAGTATATCACATAATACATTGAGAGGCAGTAAAACTATCGGGAAGCGATGAATGGGGACTTGCCGGCCCATGGCAACATTAAAATATGTACATATATTCATATAACCAAGTGAATTCAACTAAAATTACCAATAAAAAGCATCTAGCCCCAAGAAAGTACAACGAAACAGAGAGCACAGCCAATAATAACTAATCATTACACGGGAGAGAAATAGGAAGCCTAAAACACACTGCTTCCTACAAGAAGTCACAAATATATGTATTATACATTTTAGTGAAAACTCCGTTCTAGACTTATTTTTAAAATCCCAAACGATATGTCAAGTCATAACTTCAAATCATTTAAGGTGTCATCCATGATTATACATACTATGCGATCTATCACAAGTAGGGTCAGGTAGTCACTCCATTGTAATTTGAGAAGCACAATATAAGCAGGACATAAATTACGCTTTGAAAAGTGAAAACTTCCGACCTCCCACGTTTAAGTGTATGATTAGTGCAGTTTGACAATGTCACAACACAGTATCAAGCAAACTCCAAACAGACGGACTACACGCAGCAGCTGAAACACTTGGCAAGCAAACTCTGCATTATTTACGTCATCTTGTGTGCTTTAGTAAATGTGCGACAACTCTCATGCTTTTTATCACAACCAGGACTACACAAAGTAAATTACCAAGTAACATAATATAACGTATAATAAATGTCGTAAATAAATGCCGTAAATAAATGCCGTAAATAAATATTTGTTTTATTAATTAAATATGTGGGAACCTCGCACCGGACACAACGAGTGTAATTCGTTTAACTTATTGTTTAAGCTAGGAATTAGCCCGTTAACTAACCATTTGCATTACACTTGTGGTGCCCGGTGCGGCGTTCCTCACGAAATTCTGACTTTTTCTAGCCGGACAATGGACATCCGTTCAGACCACTGGGAGACTTTGGGTAAGGGAACTGATCCGGCCCCAAGAGGTCATATTACAACTTACCCAAAGTCTGGCAGCCCGTTCAGACAATGTTATTTACATGTGACATTTAAACAGCATAAGTCTAGATTATTTGAACTGTCTGAGAATTTTCTAAACAGCGTAAAAAATCTACCACCCACTCATGTATTAAATACTAAATCTAACATTTAGTTCACAAACTTTTAGCTTAGTTTCGGCAGTAGTCTGATGAGAGGATACAGCAACAGGGTGACTATTAGCCTGATCTAGCGCAGTGCTTCTCTTGCGCTCAGCACCTGATTTGTTACTGGGGTATGCTCTGAGAGTTCGGCGCTCTGCATCTGCTACCAAGCTGTTCACCAGGTGAGGATTATGTATTTCTATACTCATTTCTTGGCACTATGGGAGGTTGTTAGATAATATTCAGACATATATCATTAAAAATCAGTTTTAAAGAATCTAAATGCGTAACCTTCTTAACCAGCTACATGGAACTCAATGATTCGAATGAAAATATACTATCTCTCACATCTAAAGCAATGAAGAGTCTTCGGTAATTAATTTGTCAAAAAATATCCCTCCGTATCAAGGACAAAAGGAAATCGCGGCACGTGCGGAATCGCGATTTTCTCCATTCTCCGCGACAAATCGCGATTTTTCACGTTTGCCGCGACAAATCGTGATTTTCTCAGATCCGTGCGACAATTCGCGATTTTTAAAGTTCTCCGCGACAAATCGCGCATTTTCCTTTAAATCTGGTGACCAAATTTGCGTATTTTCCTTTAAATCTGCGTGTAAAATATCACGTTCTCTATAAGTATATGGAACCAATCACGTCCACAGCCTTCCGAATGTAGGTACAGACTTGAAAAAACATTTTCGGCTAATAATGATCAGGGTAGCATGAACCATCACATGGCATGGAGTACGTTTAGACACTTGATATCATTTAAGAATGTGTAGTGTGTAGTAATAGTATGTAACTGGAAATTATCGAGAATATGTAGTGTGTGAACAGCAATTCCAGAATATGTAAGACTATTGTCCCTCGATCCTCGAGTCTCTCCGGATCGGCAACAATTAATACAGCACTCATGAGCAGCTCAAGCCTCAATGTGCAATAATAAATAAAATATTAAACGCTATAAAGGAACCAGGAATCAGGATGTATCACATTCTTTTCAGATTCATAGGCAGCGATCATAGCAGTCTGGCCCCACATGATCAAATCTAGACTAGTATTAGACAAGATTAACTACCGTACCTGAACATTACCAGAAAACCAAAAAAAACAATGTTAGGCTCATAATGATCAGGGTAGAATGAACTGTGGAGACAATATGTTTCCAGGAATCCACTTTCACAAGTATTTCTTAGCCCACTCCCACTCGCCTGCTGAGTGCTGACATAACCTTGTTGGCCAAAGACTTGACCACATAAAGTTGACCACATAAATTTGACCACTAGACATATAAAACTTGACCACTAGACATTAACTTGACCACTAGACATATAAAACTTGACCACTAGACATTAACTTGACCACTAGACATATAAAACTTGACCACTAGAGATAAAATTGACTACTAGACATACAATGGATTATGAAATTGTGCAGTAGGTGAAATCAGCGTTGTTACTGATTGTCACTTGTTAGATACTTGTCACAAACGTCGTCGGATCTATAGTTATTGATTTGTGTTTAGCTTGTTAACTGCTCTAGCTGACATAATAACAACAAAACGGCTGCGTTGGTTTGGACATGTCAGTAGAATGCCTGAAGATCGGTTACCCAACTATCTACTTGAATGGAAACCCAAGCATGGGAAGAGATCAAGAGGCAGGCCTAGCAAGAGCTTAAATGATGTATTTATTGAGGATGCTGAGCAGGAATTGGATCAGAATGGACTCACGATTGATTGTATGAGAAGATTAGCTGCAGATCGAAACGGATGGAGAAATGTTACCCGCCGAAGTTGTATAATACAAAGTCGACGCAGACTAATCCTTTTGGATGGACATCTCGCCATGTAACATGTATGTATGTTTTGCTTGTTATTGAACAATGGACCGCTTGTCGATTCGCGATTTTCTTTTGTCCTTGCTCCGTATTATATGTGAAGTATTATATATGAAGTGATGAGATTAGATTTGTCGGTAGCTGCCAGAAAAACAAACTTATATCAATTAAATACAATTTTTATATCTAATTTGGAAACAATTGTGAAAATAAAATCACTCATTTTAACATTTAACATTTTCAATTACTCGTATTTTTGTCCAGCATAACGAAATTTTGTTGCATCAAAAAGCCATTTTCACAAATTAATGTTTCGTCCGTACATTAAATTATTCAACAGATCATCATCATAACTTTCAAATATTACCTACTATAATCAACCTAAAAAAGATTGGAAAAAAAAACGAATTTCTCTATCCTATATCTAGTATCTACAGATAAAAATATCAGTGATTATACTCAACCATCACAGCTTTTATCGAAATTTCATATAAAATCGTGAATTATTCTACAAAAAAGACGTTAATAATGTTCCAGCACTCAAATGATCTGTTACAAAACAAACCCCAGAAAATTAACTACACTGTTATCAGAGACTTTCGTCCGTTTACTAATCGAAATTCTGTGATAAAACCACACTTGAATTTACAAGCAGTTAATAAATACTTTACTTGGTAATAATACGCAATCAAATTTAATGCAAAGAACAGGAAGCAATTATCGGGTTGAGAACTTGAACAGATTTTTGTAAACAATTTAGGGCACACGCTGTACCTTATTGTTTTATGCTTCTAAAGGGAAATCTATCCAGATAGCTTTATACAGTGACAAAAATAGCAAGTCCACAAATGATATCAGAAGTTCTGAAAAGTGGGAAAACTGAAAATAACAACATTCTCACCGTATCTTATAAACACCATTATTTTGATTGTTTTCAGTAGCCCACAAGAGAGAGTTCTGCGGAGTAAATACTTCACCGTTACTGCCAGGTATGCCGTTGTGTGTCCCGTTGTGTGTCCCGTTGTGTGTCCCGTTGTGTGTCCCGTTGTGTGTCCCGTTCCGGCCGTTAGTTGGTTGACCTGGTGGTTCTCTTGACTTTTCAGAGCTACGATTGTTGGTGTTGTTTTGCTGCACAACATCTTCAGGGCCATTTGTTATGGGTGGTAGGACATCCTGCTCACTTGCCCTCTTCCGCATATCTCGCATATTTCTCCAGTTCTGAAGGAACTTTCTAGATGTATCAGTTATTTCTTTACCATCCATCATAGCAAGATTGCCTGCCATGATGATGACACGATCTCTAAACTTAGGTTTCGAACACACGGGATTTCCCTCGATTTCCAGTTTCCACAGCGAAGAAAGAGACCCAAAAACTCGTGACAGTTCCTTCATACTAGTCAGCTTGTTGTCTTTAGTTATGAGTTGGGTAAGACTCTTGAGACACGCTAACTCGTTCACAGAATCAACACCGTTACCTGAGATATTCAGGACCAGTAGTGACTGTGATAAACACATCAGTGTACGGGGATCAAACAACATTTTCTCTCCAGTCGGTAGTTTTTGATTCTCCACATGAAGCTCCTTCAGTTCGGTACATTTCTCAAGATTTTCAATGACAATTATCTTGTTGAACCCGAGATACAGCTTGTTTAGGTTGCAACATCGATAAAGTCCATCTAGTTTTGATATAACGTTATTCTGAAGATAGAGATGAGTGAGATTGACTGCAAAAGTTAGGTTGGTTATCTCCTCAATTTTGTTATCGTAAAGATAGAGAACTGATAGATTAGCACAGTCGTGCAGGTTCTCGATAACAGAGATGTTTTTGTCCTGGAAGTAAACGTGGGTGATCCGCTTCAGGAACTGGGAAAGTGTCTCGTCTCCACGTCGAGAGATGTGACCCAAGCATTTTAGCAACAAGTCATTTCTTATCCTCGTCATCTGTGTATTATAAGTGGTTTATTGATCAAATAATACTACGTTAAGGGAGGGGATACACGTCAGTTTTCACGTACGTGTCGATAGACTGCCATGTGCAAACTGTGAACTTGTAACTTTCTAAGATCGGCAAGAAAATTGTACTATAGGGTAAATGTTAACCCTTTTATATTTTTATATGAGCTAATATTTTGACATAACACGAATTCATTATTTACATTCACGATCTTTATTTATTATCTATATAAGTATAATACAATGAATCCACACTCCACAAGAAAAGAACTTTCACAACAGTATACAATGGCACAAATCTGTACAGACTAGTGCTGCAGAACATAATTAGGTATTTACAAATTGGATTATCAAGACTACTCGGAAACCTGAACCACCCATAAAAATCACTGTCTATTAAAAGATTAAATTACTATTCTTAGTTCTTACCACAAGGCAGTGATCTGTAAAAAATCGGAGGCGAAATAATTTATTTATTTCAACAGATCACAGATCATCGTTACCAAGGTATTTCAGCTCTATCTGAAATCTTGATAAGAAATGATAATGTCGACTACTGCGGTATTACTGCCGTTAACATTCTCATGTACAAAAAATATCTTTAATTTCAAATTGAGTTGGTGTTTGTATTTCGACCTCTGAACATCAATCCTTGGCATCATCATCATTATCATCATCAACTATCTGATTAAATAACAGATCAACATCATCACTTTGCTTTGTCTCTAAAATAATCAGCCAAGTTTTCAACAGCCTCTACACAAATACTAGGGTACATATTGTTAGCGTAGGTTGCTATGATAACCAGTGTGTTAGTCTTAACAATGATCACACCACCCTCATTTCCACCCTCTACTCTTGCGTAGATACTGTTCTTGTCACTCCTCAGACAATGGTACTCCTGGTTTGTGCTAGTCAAGTGGAACCCTTCACTGCGCAGTAAGGTAGGTTCCCGAAAAAACTTGACAATACAACTCAGTTCCTCAGGGTCTAGCATGAAGCCAACTGATGAGGCACGAAGAGATGAGTCCTTGCGGCGGATAATAGCAGCGTGTTCCACATGTGATGTTGAGATCAGACCATCTTGGAGCAGGCTTTGTAAGTGATTCATTGTGAGCAACTGGAGGATAGCATGGTTAGCAATTATAAAGGAGTCTAATCTCAGCAAATTCTCGATAAACTTAAAGGACCAGTTAACTGAAAAATGTGTAGTCTCCAATTTGGCTAAGATTTAAATCAGCTGTGACAAACTGGTAAAGAATCGTATCGCCGAAAGAACCAATTCTCTAGCGTACGTGTAACGCGTGTTATTGCAATAATAAGCTGTGGCCTCGTGACGTCATAAAGTCCCTCAGTGCGCGCTTGCATAGTGTAATACATTGCAAATGTTTATCATCGTCAATAAAACACGTGTAAATCACTCAAATTTTAAAATTATGACTATTACCCTAGTTCTCCAAAATCCTTATAGTTTTGGCTATCATCCTAACTAAAGGAATAGCTGATTGGATGTACAGTGCTCACGTCAGGATTTTAAACAGTGATATAGGTTCTTGAACAGTGGCGGGTGAATGTACGGTTAGAAAGTTTCTGCTATTACAACTTATGTCATATGTGATAATTTTGGATTGTTTTCATTGCTTAATTACACAAGCAGGGAGACTGTACCGATTATTTTTCCCCAGTCCATGAAACTCTAACGAATTTAGAAAGGATCTAGATAAGTAGGAGTTTGTTCAATTCCGAGAGTAATATTATATTTATATCATATCGAAATTTCTAACTTTAATCCACATGTGTCAGCCAGTACAGGAGACAAGAAGTCTGGCTACTTTACGGCCGTTCCTCTGGGACCATTAGTAGAAGTAGCTTCTATCATAACAGTGCCGTGGGAACAGAATTCCCGCCAAAATACCCGGTCTACCAAATAGTAATACTGATTGGAGTGTACGGTGTGTTTTGAATTAGACTTACGGCTTACCTAGTTGTTATCCTAATTGCATTATCAGCGGTACATAACATAAATAAACTACTGATAAGTTTAAATACCAAGTGCAAACGTGTTCAGTCAATCGACCCACTGAACAACTATAGAATTGCCAAGACCCTATTTAATTATTCTCTGGCCATATATTACGGCACGATCGATTGTTAGATGGCTAAACGACCAACGTTAATCTATACAATTCTAAAACTATGAGCTTGCACTTTAATCTAAAAATACCCTTTTTATATTACTCCTGATTTTTACATTTCACGTAAAACATTGTCGCCACAGGTTGATCATGGACACTAACAGCTTAATTTGAGATGAATGACTTATGAGTTTCTCTAAAGTTAACTCTAAAGTTGTGTAGTCCAGTCATTTATGGAAATGAACCTGCAAATGTTCAAATACTCACGAAACTTTGCACAGACCTTCCTGAAGTTATGAATAAACGATTTTCGTTTGGAGACATTTTTTTGACCGTCGAGAAAACCCAAGAGGGCCACGCCCATATTGACCCAATAACGTAACCGACCCCTTGCTTCTGAAGGTCGTAGAGACTTCAAAATAGGCTTAAACGAAGCGGCATATGCATGTTTATATAGGGGTTACTGAGCAACACATGGCCTAAAATCCTTACTTTTCGAGAAATTTGCCAAAAACCATTTTGGGCGTGGTGCTGAGCCCATTTTCGATAGGATCGTGATAGAGTCTTTAGACAGGGTGCAAAAGAACCGCAATTAGCATATTAATATATGACTTACGAACAAACATATGCCTTAAAGTGCTTACTTTTTCAGTTATTGGCGAAAAACTGATTTTCGGTTCCAGAAATCATGCAAAACTATGGGTATCTGGTAAATTGGGCTATGAAGCTCCTAAAGGTTTTTAAATGTGTGCAAACTGTGCAGAATGGCCATGTTTATATACAACTTATGAAGCAACATGTACCCTAAATTACTTACTTTTCGAGTTATTCGGGGAAAAACATTGTATTATGTCCATTTTCTACCTGTAAAATACAGTCTCACGAGCTCTTCTGCGCGCGCAAGGGACTTTATGACGTCATCGCCAAAATAATACAAACGCTATTTACACGCGTTAGAGAGCAGTTAGAGATTTAGGAATTTCGACTCGTTGCTTAGTTTGCTATTTGTCACAATCTGTCAAAATATGAGGATAACTTTTTTTTCAGTTAACTGGTCCTTTAAGGTTTACATGGGACGCTGTAAATAACTATGTAATCATTCTCAATATTAATGTGTTACTTATTAATAATTTATTACTTATTTCGAATCTGCTTCTAGGCAAATGTCCTATTAGGTTTTATATGAAGTCACTTTACCGAAAGATGGGGAAATCAAATAACCATATACTCAATACCAAAAGTGTCATAATGTCTAAATCTAATCAAATCAAATCAAATAATAATGACACAAAACATCACACAACATCATAAATATTTAATTAATTTAAATATAATTTTAGGTTCAAAGACCTAGTAAAAATATACTTAATTATACTTTATAATTATGAGCATTATTTTTTCTGAATTGTTATAAATTTGTTGATTCTGTAAAATGTGCTCAAATTTCCTGTTTCATTTAATTTCTTGTTTCATTGACTATATAAGTTGATAAAGCATTTATTAGCAACATTTGCCAAACAATTGATCATGTGATATGTGAACAACCCTTTGTGATCTAGGAGACCGTAAAGCTTATCTCAATCTAAGGGATGAAGTTAAAGGATACGTCTTGCAACGTTGCGCCCCCACCCAAAAAGTGCCCCCCTCTTGACACCCCCTCCCCTTTTATAAAGTTAAAATTAGATGATTAAAGAGGATACACAAGTAAAATCTCTAAAAAAGTGTGTTTTTAGACTCTAGAGCATAACTCACGATTTTGCTAGTACTTGAGTTAAGTTTTTCAAAATGTCCACATTAAAATGATGATTTAGCACGCCCCTAAGTTGGCAACCCCCCCCCCCCCCCCCTCCCCTTGCACAGCGGGGTCAGCGGGGCATTCCTTACGCCACAAGATGCTGGCACAGCATTGCTGAGCTGGATCTTCCTCTGATTCCCATCAGTGCAATGAGTGTGCTCCTTAACAGATCAAACCTGAATCGTGTTCTGATATGATTTTTGATTTGATGAGAACCATCCCTGATAGTGCAGAGAGCTTGCAGCCCATCAAGGACAATATCAGGTATTTACTCATTCCCAACATGACAGGTCACACAATATGGTTAGACCTCGAGCATGGCCTATTCTCCCTCAAATCAAAGTTAGCTGGACTAGCTATCACTAATCCAGTAGAAATGTCTTCCAAAGATCACTACTTGCTGGCCACACACATCTGAACGAAATTCCCCTAGTCTAGTGTTTTCCAAGTCTTGTCCTGTGAGTAAAGTATGTGTGAGAAAGGTTTTAATAAAATTAATGCATATTTTTGAATTTTTAAGATTTAATTTGAGAATGAAGTATAAAGAAATTTTTAATTAGCACTGTATAATTTACAGTGGTCGACCAGGGGCAGGATTCTGACCGGGGCCGGGGAACCCCAATATAGCCGGGGCCGGGTCTGACTACTGAGAATTGGCCGGGGCCGGGAAATCTTCCATTTTGCCGGGGCCGGGGGTAGTTTACCAAACTGAAGTTAGAAATTGAAACATGAATTTGACAATAATTTAGGCTGGTGTGATGCAATCGGGAAGAATTAAACTCAAGGTGCGGCTTATCCTCACCGACTTGAGGATTAAACCGCAACTTCGTGCTGTGAACCAACTCAGGATAATCCTCATTATCCTGAGATCCATGCTTAATTTCTAATCCTCAACTCGGAACTGAGGATAACCCTCAGCTGCTACTTTATCTTGACCTCGGGATTTAAAATTAATCCCACATCCAAATATGGCTCAGTTCACAAAAATTTACCATAAATGGTAGGCTCTGTAGTTTACGTTGAGCCTTAGTTTTAGCTGCAGTGCAGTATTTTTACTTTCTAGTTTCTACGTATGTTTTATCGCAAATTTCTCGGAGACGATTAATTGAAATGTCTGATCATACTGAGGAAGAACCACGGTTTTTATGTTACTAGCCGTAGTCTAATTTAAGCTGTATGTTGTATTTTCTATATTTAAACATACTCAACATAGACAATAAATTTTTCAACTTTGAAATCTCCTAATTACCATTAAATTGTGTTTGATTTTTTTTTTTAAATGTGCCAAAATCATTTATAAAATCCCCGGCTGTGCCCCCGGCAAATGCATGGTTTTTGGCCGGGGTTAAATTAATTGGCCGGGGCCGGGGTTTACCCCTGGCAATTTACCAAATTTTGGCCGGGCCGGGAAGGGCCGGGGGTTGTGATTTTGGCCGGGGCCCCAGTCGACCACTGATAATTTAAGATATTTATAGCTTATTATATAACCATTGATACAAAGGCCTTAATTTTTCACCAGCTCTCCAATATCCATCTTGAAGTTGCATTTTATATCATCAAACTACACAATATAAACTTGAGCATACTATATAGTGTAGACTTTCTGTCACAACAAGACTGCAACCCATAGTAACAAATAAAAACAAAACCCCTAATGTCTGCTAACAATTTTCTTCTGATCCTAATATGAGCCTTTTCTCTAAAAACTCAACTGAACTAGCTTTTCGGTGTGTGGAAAAGCTTCCAGGCATGCACATTCATTGACTGATGTTACTCGTCTAAATTTCTTCGAAGTAGCGCGCGCCGCTTTCTTCTCGAAAGCCCGATGGCACGAGCTACGAAGTAGCGTGCGCCGGGCCAGATCATGGTCAAGCACATTCATTGCCCCGTTAGTTACCTGTCCCTTCAAAATCAAACTAACAGTCAAGGACAAAAAGTCATACACCAAATGAGCATTATATTTTTATAAATTGTTTTACACCTTTTTAATCTGTGAAATGTGCTAAAAATTAAATTTCTTGTTTCGTTGAAAAAATTTCTTGTTTTATTGAGAAATATATAAAATTATTCAAACAATATACACATAATTGTCACAATGACCCTATACAAAAACAACCCTTCAAAAAATCAACATATTCCCTATCGCAAATATTTGGAGAAACATTTGAATATTAACCTTGG